CAAAGCTGCAACCGAAAACGTATGTGCAAATAGTACAGGGTTTCGGTTACCACAGTCAGGGAAAGAGACATCTGAGCCAAAACCAGAAAACCCAACTTTTCTGCAAAATACTGCTGGCTGACAGCCACACCACTTTCCCCCAGCCACATACTTCAATCTGCCTCTGAAGATTAACTAAAGGAAACACAGAAAGAGTTAAGACACAGGAAACATGCATTTTGTTACAAGTATTATCAAAGAAAAAGAACCAAAGCGTTAAGGTCAGTGGGGGCAGCGGGGGAGACTGGAGGAAAGAGGAAAGGGTTTTTTAAGAAATGTTTTCCATTGACCTGAAGTATGACAGTATTCCTTGAATGCGAGTGCTTAATAAAACCTACATTCCAGTTTTCAAGGATTTTCAGTTTCAGGTCTCAGGAGCCCAAGCTTCTCATGGGAAGCAACAAGGATACATGTAAATCTACGAAGAGATTCCATCAAAGCACTTTGTCTTCAGACAACATTTGCAGACTGCAATCTATAATCTTAATTCCCTACACACCACTGGGAAACAGCTACAGACACCAGAACACAATCTACAACAGTCACCAAAGCTCAGGCAGCAACAACTTGTTTACATCCCACATTAGATGCCTACATTTCTGTATGGGTCTAGTCCTGAGTACATCAGGCTGGACGTCCAATCTCTGGCATCTTGACTGCTCATATAAAAAGACAGCGAAGTTCACCAACATCAGTGCAGAACTAACCAGACTGCACTGGCACAGAATCAGGCAATCAGATACTATTTTACTTTTTTTTCAACTGATGATCTTCCATTACATTGCCATGGGACTAAGGCTAAAACCCTTATAATCGGTGCTATTTCACAAATGAAACTATGGGATAAGAATAGAGCTCAAAAGTTTGCCAACACCTGATGATCACACGTGGTATCTTGATATGCAGGCCAGTTACATAAAGCACAAAACTAGCTCTAAGTTTCCAAAAGGCACGCTCTTCCAATTTTAAGTCCGTAAATCCTTAGGCCATTTTTCTCAGTATCGTGTAATGGGGACTGAAGTAGCAGCAATCATTGCTTCAGGATATTGTACCTTTCATATCGGACTCAAAGCTCTCAACAACAGCAAAAGACTATATTCTAATTTTCACAGAGACCAGATTACAAAATAGCTAGAAAAATTAATAGTAAACTTATTAAAGTAGGTATCATAGTCACAGCAAAGAGCAAGTGTATTCTTAGCTTTTATGTAATATGAAAAAGGTGCTCCTTTCATCAAAATAGGATCTGTCACTACGGTCTGATTTAACACACACATGAAAGAGCCTACACTTACGTAACAAGTTCTTTTCAGCAATAAACCTAAGATCATTTTCAAAACACATTAGGGTTTCCAAAGACTGCAGACACAGCTTTGGCTTCAGGAAAAGCGCTGTGGGTGAAATCAGGTTTAGAAGTAGTATAGATTTATCATGAGTTCAGACACCACCAGCTTGTTTTTCTTGTTCCTTTCCAACATGTACCTGCCTTACTTCCCAGGGACTGAGTAGGCAGATACCTTTATTGTCAATGCAGATTGCATCACTACCACAATGACAAGATACTAGCTTTTTCATAAAATATTTATTAGTCCTGGACTGTTTAGGTCACCTTTTATAGAAGAGCTGGTTGAAAAAGCTCACTTATCAAAGCTGAGTGGAAAGCGGTCTCATTTAATCAATCTAGAGACACCTTTAGTGAGAGGTAATTGCAAGTCAATAATTATTACAAGCTATGAAAAACAGTTTCTAAATAACTCTGCATGCTAACTCTGGAAGTCAAAGTCTCGGCACAACACTTAGCAACAACCTACGCCAGTCTTTTCACCGGACTGAAGCGAACGTGATTTGGCTCTTCAGGTTTAAGTCTTCATAGCACTTAATGAAAAACTTGCATTAATTCTTCTCATTAAAAAATTATCAAAGCGCTCCAAAGACTGTTCACAATGTCTCATACAGTATCACTCACTGCAACTGTCTGGTCATTTATGGCCATCCCCAGGTATGGAATTTTAGAGCAGGAAAAGAAGAACAACTGGGGAAGTCTCCAAACACAGTTCTTACAGTAACTGTTGCTGTTTTACATTTTACTAGCACCTGAATGGTACACCATACTCCACAACAGATCAAGAGAGTAGCAAGTCCCACCCAAAACTGCATGCAACTTCAATTACTGAAAATAAATTTACAAGGTAGACTAGAAAGTGCATCAAAAGTGAGGGGGTGGAAGAATGGGATTGGGTTAAGATCTCTAACAACCACAAATTTTGCCTATGGAAAAACGTCCTCAAAATAACATGAATGTATTCCAAAGAGCAACCACTGACCCAAATGCCACAAAATTCTTGAAAGCCACGTGTTGAAATAGTCATGATTCATATGTAACCCTAAACATTCAGGCATGTAATTAGCAGAAAGGTAATTAAGCATGAGTTAATTTCCTCTAAAGGAAAGGGTGGGGCAATATGATCTAAGAGACACATGAACAGAGAATAGGAAAGCCATTAGACGCAAATTAGGAAAGAAACACGGTTGCTACCTTTGCAGCATAGATTGTATGCGTCTTCATGGTTTTAATGTGCATCTTTCTTGCTATTAAGAAATCTCAGCTATAGCAGTTGTTTCCTAGTATAAACAGTGCAGGTTGCTAACTAATGATCCTGAGAAAAGAAACAGTCATTAACTGTGATGACAGACACACAGTCTGATTAGCCACCTGAAAATAACCCACACTGTTTGGTACTGTAATTTGGCAGGGGAAATTGCAGCCACTACTTAAAACCTCTGAAACCTAATGGCCATGAGGCTTCAACACTCTACCCACAGAGCTCACTATTTACTTCAACTTGAAGATGCATTTTCCCCCTTCAACATCAGTACAGACCTTAAGCTACAGTTTTGTTTGTCTGCATCAAATTCTTAACTACTGCCCGTAGCAATGACCGCTCAGCTAAGAGTAGCATGTATTCATGACTTAACAGACTATGTCTCACCATCTACATGTGACTCATAATTGCACTTTTAAATGAAATCACAAGAAACATCTAAAAACTGCTTTGTACTGTTTGAACGGGAATTCAAGTAAGAATACGAAAAAGAGGATTAGCTAAAACTTCTAAAATCTCCTCAGAAACAGCAGTGATTGGCTTCTACACGCTCTGTGATTTTGCCAACGTCAGCCATGCTCACCTGGATACAGATTAAAACTGAGTTTGCCAGAACCTCTGAAAAAAGTTCAAAACATCTTATGCACTTTGTACCTGACTTGTTACTGACGGTGTTTTAATATAACTTCAGAAGCACGATTTTTAGGTCTAGTTTTAGGTCACGAGCAGTCCATCATCAGTGGAAAAATAAAAAAAGCATGATTGGGGATTATATAGCAAACATTAGGAGGGGAAGGAGGGAGCTGAGACTAGACTGCAAAATACAATTAAATGACAGAATCCTGGACTATCTTCAAGCTTATAATCATAGATCATTGTGTACAGCGATCTTGTGAATTGGTATAATTGGCTTTATACCCTATTCTTCCCTTCTGTTGTGTGTTGTTTTGTTTTTTTGTCAGCAAAGCATTCCATTCAGTTACAATTCTCTTCCTAATCCTCCCCCCTGCAAAACACTTGTGTAACCATGTCGAGAAGGTCAACACATCCAATTCCTGAGTAAAATACTGTTCCTGGAAAACACTACGTCCTTCTACGCTGATGGGTCATTAGTCCCAAAGGAGTCTCAGGTAACTGGAAAACCAAGAGCTAGCTGCTCAGTACACATCCCAGAGTACTGGCATGAGGAATTGCCAGCACAAAGCACTGCTTTGGAAACAGCTGCACGACTATGAGACCAAACAAGGTATGGCAAGTCGTGTCAATAATGGATTTAAATCACAAGCTCCATAACGCCACCCTTTTTCCAAAACTGCGCGCTGCCACTAGTTCCCAACACTAGGCCAGATCAGGGCCCCACTCAGCCCCAAAAAAAACTAATTTGAATTTTGCCTGTGACAACCCCCTCAGTTAATCCAACACGCCATCACACAAGTGATGGTGCCCCTGCCACAGACCAAAGCAGCCCAGGCCAGCAGGATTTAACACAGTGCCGAACCACCCCCTCAGCGAAACTTTTTGTTACTTCAAGTGCGTCATTCATCTTTCAGTATCTCACACCCTCTCTGAAAACACAGCCACTCCCTACTTCAAGGGAACGACCTGAACGCTACATAAGCTGCTCATACAGTGACAAACACCCACAAAATCACCCGAAATGCGCTGCTCAGCATCTTAAATATACTCCAAACTTCACTTGGCTTGACTTTAAAGGACTTTGATCCCCAGTCTTACAGTAAGAAGCCAAGCACTGGTAATACTTACAAGAAAAGAGTCAACCCCCCCTCAATCCACAGGGAACTTAGCAGGGAAACAGGCTGAGGGGCCAGATTTGCAAAGTTAGTGACACCTTCACCCCGATTAACTATTGAAACTTGCCCACGGAATTAAAAAATAATAACAAATACACAAACAACTTCGGTTTAGGAATTGCACAAGGAGAGAACTGGTTTACTAAGTTTCTCTGTATCCCGGTGTGTTAAGCCCGGTCACAGTCCGCCTCCTGGAGCCCGGGAAACCCCTGGCACGGCCGCCACCCCTGAGGAGAGGGGCTGCCGGGGCCGGGTACGACCCCCCCCCTCAGCGGGTTCCGACGCCCGACCACCGAGACTGAGAAGGAATGACAACGACCGGCGGCGGAGACGACGGGGAGGGGGAACGCTAACGGCCACCCAACTGTCACCAACTGTCACCGCGCGGCTGCCGGGCGAGGGGGAAGCCCTTCCCGCAGCCGGGCCCAGCGGCACAAGCACCGGGCAGCCCCCCTGAGACGAGGAGCCGCCCACAGGGTCCCGGCAGGCCCAGCGGCCCCTCGGGGAGACAAGCGAAGCGGTTCAGAGCTGCGGCTCACCGGTTGAATCCCCGGGCGGCGGGGACGAGCCGCCGCTCCGCGCTGCTCCGCTCTCCGCTCCTCCCTCGGCGCCGCTCCCCTCACGGCGGCCGGGCGCTTCCTCCCCTCCTCGGCGGCGGAAGGGCGTGCCGTCACTTCCGGGGAGGGCGGCGCCCTTTCCCGGAAGGAAGCGAGGGGCCGGTTTGCCCAGCAGAGGCCCGGCAGGCCGGGCGAGGGCTCCTCGGTACTGCGGGGGGTGCTCACGCTAGCCCCCCAGGGCGGAAGGCCGGGCGAGACAGGAGGCGGGCAGAGGAAGGGACGAGCGCCGGGAGCTGTGCCGGCAGCGGCCGCAGCAAAGGGGCTGCCCCAGGCCTGGCCGCGCACGGCGTCCTCAGGGCCGTTTCACGCTCTCTGCGGTACATAGAAGCTGGACATTAGGAAGAGATCCAGTCTTTTCCGGTATCTACGCGTCTTTCTGTGAAGATTCTCATTTTTTGCCCCTTCCAGCACACCAGCACCCTTTCTCTCCCTTCAGACACACTACACCCATCCCAGCAGCAGCTCTGTTCTTCACCTCAGACCCAGGCACCGTCCACATCAGGCAGCTCACATGAGCACTCGGGAGCATGTGTTCATCCTCACAGCAGCAGAAATAGCTACTGCTATTTAAAACTTACTTCTCTTTCCCTTCTCATTTACACAGTGCTGTCACGCGGTGGTTTCAGTGTCTTTTTTTTCTTCCTCCCACAGCTCAACACAGACATCCAGTTGTGGAAAACAGGGATCGCTTCAGCAAAACAAATGGACAGCAGGGAAAACGGTCTTTCAGTTACTTCAGAAACAAGGGGGAAATACTTCTGAACACAGCCAGCTAAGCAAATCCAGAAACTTAATTTTCTTTTTGAGCCTTGCACAAGCAGGGATGGCTACAGACCTCCTCTGGGCTGTTTCACATGAATGGGTGGGTACGGAGGGAAGGAAGTAGAACTGAAATCATCTGATACCAGTTGGTCTCCCCAAGGAGACTGCAGACACTGCAGAAGTGCCATCTGTTAAGGAAGTGATGATGAACGAGTTAGAACTGGTGCTGTTAAGCAAAGCCTGGGATGGAGACTGGCGTCTTAATTTTCCTTTGCAATCATGCAAAGCAAACTCAAATCACAGGGAATGTGAAGAGGGGGACTGCAGCGGCTGCGGACCAGATTAGCCACATTCCAACAATTTCAGTGTAATATACTTTTATTGCACAACACAAACTTTATATCCACATTTGTCTTTTATGTATTTTAAATAAAAAACATAGACTATACATTACCTGAAGTGAAAAGCAAAACGTAGTAAGAAATAACACACTACAGTACCCACGGTATTAAACATCACACATCAACTTACTTAAAATAAAACACATTTGGAGATAATTCCAAACCCTGATTGTTACCATCCAGGCTGGATTTTCAAAGGCATTACGGGTTACAATGCATAGACACATACAATTCATAATTCAGCAAAACAAAATCCATTTATAAAAGTCACAGTGAAAGTGTAGGTAAACTTATACTAAGCTTGTGTAAGTAAAACAAGTAAGAACTGTTGTTCTGGAAAGCAGTTTCCAGTTAGAGGACTATTCACAGAAGATAGCAGCAGAACGTAATTACCCTCTGAAATCTAGCTTATTTGCAGGAAGATAATGAAAGACTGGAGGTTTTTTTTCTTTGTTAAATTATGTTTCCATAGCACAAAACTCAGTACTATCCCGGGTCCTCTCTGCTGTGCCTGAACAACCTGAAAACGTTTACAATCGTTTACCTACAAATAACCAAAGAGATCGATACAACTCCAGGGTTCAGTAATACTAATTTTTACTTAAAGCCTGTGGGGTCTATAAATCGTCCGGAGTAAAGCAGTTATTAAATGAAGACAGTGAAATAAGTATCATGTCCCAGACATTTATGATGACTCGAGACCATGTTTCTACATTCTTTGCTCTGAAGTCTTCTCTTACCTGTCAGGCAGCTGCGTCCCAAACTTGATGACTCTGCTTTGCCATGCAGAAAAGAAAGGTCCAATGCATAAGGACCTGTGGCATAAAGGCCCTCAGACCTCTCTTAACAATAATGCTGAAATTCAAGTAGTCTGACCCCACGCCACCTCACCTGTCACCGCTGTATTTCCCAGTGCAATCCACAGCCACTGGATTTTCCCACCCACTTAACTTGATACACTACAATACAATGAACTTACACAGAAAATGGATGAACACAGGTGAGGTTAGCTGGGCTTCCAGACAGACTGGATCCTCTGCCTGACCTCACATGAATGGTGATGAATGTTCCTCTGCCTCATACAGCAAAAGAGTTGAAATAAAATGGAAAGAACACTCTGCAATGCGAACAATCAGTTCTGACATGAGACTTTCCCTGTTGGCACTTCCATCATCTTCCTCATCATGTCACCTGTCCCAGGTCATCTATAAACAAGAATGAGTAGTGAGAATGAAGTTGGGAGGCAAGGTTCCCAGGGGTTGCAAATGCCAAATGAAGCTAGAAAATCATGACCTTGAATTCTATCAGTAACTATTTTTTTTAAGAAAAAAAGCAAAACAGATGAGAGATCATGCACTTATCCTTTAGCTCATAGCAAGCAATAAACAAGGCCTCAAACCCCAAAATATAGGTACTTAGCCTGAATACATATTACTATGAAACAGATGTAAGCCCTTAAAAGAAGTAAGAGTTTACATTTCTTAACAGTCTCTAGAGAAAAATAAAGCAAAAGAGTTAAATTAAAGTGATTATGCTACAAATAAGGTTTTTTGATTCATTTATTCAGGTATTTTTGCCAGTACTAAGATTTTCACTGATTCTTTAGCAACTGTCAGTCACCATATTGTAATATTAAAATAATCCCTTTAGTCTAAACCAGACTAAGTATCCACCTTGCCAACAAATTTGAGGGTGCAGCAGAGAGAAGTAAAACTTTTCCTGCACATGGAGTTATACATCTTAAAGGTTAGAGAAAAGGGCAAGGACCAAGGGGGAATCCAGTCAGAGTCATCATCTCACTGTGACTTTTCAGGCTAGACACCTCATCTCCTTATGCCTCCTACACTTCATCTAACAAATGGAGATGTGGGGGAGTGTGGATCAAGTTCTCACTAAAGTCTTTCTTCAGAGCTAGCGAGGACTGTCCCTGGGGAAATACAGCGCAGAACTAATTCCCTCCCACTTTCATATTTGCAAAAAAAAGCACATGCTCAATGCACAGGATACATTTGAAACAGGCTGTATTCAGTTCTGGGGGGCAGTGATCAGCAACCTCACTCAGCTTCACATTTCACTAGGAAAACACAGATATACAGAGAACCATATATAAAAGAAATGGCCAACCTCTCTGCTTTCACAATACATACATTGAAACCATCTGGCTCAAAACAGATTAGGGTTTAACAACGCTATCGTTTAGAACAGTTTAAAATATCAACATCCTTCAGAGTTTGCTGGAACCTTAACAATCACTTCAGTGAAGGCCAGATGATGTGCTTATGCAAATCAGTACATTTCTCATATGACAGCAGTCTTTGACTTTTGCCTTCAAGGACTTGTGTTAGCCAGACCCAACCCTGTGACTACTTTGTTTCACTGCTGAAGCCATAGGCATCTAAGCAGAGCAGAAGAATGGAGACTGCAGTTGGATTAGCAAATACTGATTCTCTTAATGGACTCATTGTTGAGAATCAATGAAGATTCTTGCTTTTCCTGTAACTATAATAGCCTTTACTTTTTCATACACTGAACACCTCTAAGATGAGTGATTTTACAAAATGGGGGCAGGCGATATCTAAGGCATAAGCACGCTTATCAGAAAACCAACGTTTAACTCAACCCTTAAGTCTCATGCTAGTTTCAGGAAAGAGTATTACACAACTTAACAACAAGAACAAAACCTCAAAATATCCACATTAACAAATTCAGGTGTTTGCGTATATTACATCATGAAGTGTCTCCCAGGCAGACTTCCTAAAACTTAAAAAAAATCCATCAAAAGGGGGGTAGGCAGAACTTTCTGCTGCAATAACTTACTCCTTTTGCTATTTGGATAACTAAGACCTGGAAACCCCCAAAACAAACCAAAGAACCCACACCCTCATAAATGCAGAAAGTGATCCCTCATTATAGGTTTTGGTTAAAAATCAGCTTTAAAAAAAAATTTTTAAAAATCCAGCAGTCTCAGAAGAAAACATGTATCATGAGGATGAAAGAGAATCTGCTAATGGCTCAAAGGCTTCCCAGATCAAAGATGCCAGCACCTTCACTTTCCTCCAAGGAGGATGGAAGTTCAGCGATGAGTATTTCAGATTAGTACGTAGAGTACTGTGGTATTCAAGTTAAGAAGCGTGCACGAAGTTGAAAAATTATGTTAATTTTTTTTTTTAAACTCTTGAAATCGACAGTCATTAAGTCGATGCTGCACATAAGTATCTTTTCATGTAATTTTTGAGTGTTTTATAAAGAAGAGCAGGTATCCTTCCTATTTTACAAGTGTAAAACAGATGCAGAAACATTTAATGTGTTGTGAAATTGGCCAAGTCACATAATATGAAACCTGATAGTAAGACCTGCCTTGCTCCCTGTTAAAAACCACTAGACAATGCACCTATAGAAGGGATGTTAAAAAGATTAGTCTTGTTATGTTTTTGTTCAGACACACAGCAACCTAAAAAAAGTAGCTAAAAATTCTGATTTTAAATAATTATCCCTCAACTGTCCCACCATTACCCCCAGTATTCATAAAAAACAGAGTAATCACTGCAATCCAGATATGCAACCTGTGCTTTGAAAATATTTGAGACTTCTTATTTAGGGGAAAAAAAACCCAAAATGGCATATATCCTGTCTCAGAACACGAAATAAAAAAAATGTCCTCCCTTCAAATTGAGTGAGCTAAATGGACTGACATGCATTGTCCTTTTAATGATCTGTAAACATGATATTCATAGCAACATTATATTGATGACATGAGACCGCTTACTGCATGGCCAATTTGTCTACGGTGTCAGCTTGGAAATACAGGGTATTTGGGAGTGTGGGGGTGGAAAAGTAGCTATGTAGATGATAAAGTGGCAAAAAAACTAAGT